CTCGGGAACTGAACCCAATCGCAGAAGAGAATATGACAAATCCCTGCAGCTACACACTCCAGCCTCTGTAATCTTAAGAAGAACCATCCGACACGTAAGGCAATAGTATAACCGGCTAATCTAGTCAGCGAAGTATTCCTAATCACACTATTTGCAACTTTCTAATGTTGATGGAATCTCCTTTTTGTATTGTTTTCTGCCCTAGTCTCCAAGGAAGCAGAAAACAAGCTTGCTCCCTCTTCCCTGTGACTTCCTCTCACATATTTATACATGGCTATCATATCTCCTCTCAGCCTTCCCTTCTTCAGGCTAAACATGCCCAGCTCTTTAAGCCGCTCCTCATAGGGCTTGTTCTCCAGACCCTTGATCATTTTAGTCGCCCCTCTGGACACATTCCAGCTTGTCAATATCTCCCTTCAATTGTGGTGCCCAGAATTGGACACAATATTCCAGGTGTGGTCTAACCAAAGCAGAATAGAGGGGTAGCATTCCTTCCCTAGATCTAGACACTATGCTCCTATTGATGCAGGCCAAAATCCCATTGGCTTTTTTTGCCGCCACATCACATTGTTGGCTCATGTTTAACTTGTTGTCCACGAGGACTCCAAGATCTTTTTCACACGTACTGCTCTCGAGCCAGGCATCCCTCATTCTGTATCTTTGCATTTTGTTTTTTTCTGCCAAAGTGGAGTATCTTGCATTTGTCCCTGTTGAACTTCATTTTGTTAGTTTTGGCCCATCTCTCTAATCTGTCAAGATCGTTTTGAATTCTGCTCCTGTCCTCTGGACTATTGGCTATCCCTCCCAATTTGGTGTCATCTGCAAACTTGATGATCATGCCTTCTAGCCCTTCATCTAAGTCATTAATAAAGATGTTGAACAGGACCGGGCCCAGGACGGAACCCTGCGGCACTCCGCTCGTCACTTCTTTCCAAGATGAAGAGGAAGCATTAGTGAGCACTCTCTGTGTTCGTCCACTTAACCAATTACAGATCCACCTCACCGTAGTTTTGCCTAGCCCACATTGGACTAGTTTCCTTGCCAGAAGGTCATGGGGGACCTTGTCAAAGAAGGCCTTCCTGAAATCCAGACACGCTCCACCCACGGCATCATTCCCCGCATCTACCCAGCTTGTAGCTCTATCGAAGAAAGAGATCAGATGAGTCTGGCATGACTTGTTTTTGATAAATCCATGTTGACTATTAGCGATGACTGCATTTGTTTCTAAGTGTTTGCAGACCGCTTCCTTAACAATCTTTTCCAGAATCTTGCCCGGTATCGACGTGAGGCTGACCGGACGGTAGTTGTTTGGGTCATCCTTTTTTCCCTTCTTGAAGATTGGGACCACATTGGCCCTCCTCCAATCTGCTGGAACTTCTCCCATTCTCCAAGAACTCTCAAAGATGGTTGCCAATGGTTCCGAAATGACTTCCGCTAGTTCCTTCAATACTCTGGGTGTAGTTGATCTGGCCCTGGGGACTTGAACTCATTAAGAGCGGCCAGGTATTCCTGGACGACTTCTTTCCCAATTTGGGGTTGGATGTCCTCCAATCCCTCATCCACTCCATCTTGCTGAGGTTGAAGACTCTCTTTTTGTGAGAAGACCGAGGCAAAGAAGGCATTAAGTAGTTCTGCCTTTTCCCTATCATCCCCTGTCAGCATTGCCCCATCTTCTCCGCGAAGAGGTCCTATCGCCTCCTTGTTTTTCCTTTTTCTACTGACATAAGAATAGAAGCCCTTTTTATTGTTTTTAATGTCCCTGGCAAGCTGAGCTCGTTTTTTGCTTTAGCCTTGCGGACCTTTTCCCTACAGGTGTTGGCTATTTGTTTGAATTCTTCTTTGGTGATTTCTCCCTTTTTCCACTTCTTGTGCATGTCTCTTTTGTATCTTAGCACAGTTAGAAGTTCTTTGGACATCCATTCTGGCTTCCTTCCACTTGTCCTATTTTTTCTCTTTGTTGGCACGGTTTGCAATTGCGCCTTGAGTATTTCACTCTTGAGAAACTCCCATCCATCCATAACTCCCTTGTCTTTTAGTATCTGTGTCCACGGAATGCTGCTCAGTGTTTCCTTCATTTTTTTGGAAATCAGCTCTCCTAAAGTCCAAAATGCCTCTGATTAATAATTGCCCTCCGTATCTGTGCCCTGCTCACCTCACCAGCTCAGTAGATATCTTGAGCAAGGATTAATCGATTTGCCCCAAAGAAATGCAAAATTATTGTTTCCATTTGATGTATGATGTTTTGTTATCTCTGTTATAACAGGCTGTGCTTTTTTATTTAATTTTAGTTAAGTTATAATTCATATTTATATGTTGAACATTTGCTTTTATGTTTGGAATCCGCCCCGAGTCCCTTTGGGGAGAGAGAGAGGAATATAAATAAAGTTTTATTATTAGAGCCATTCAGCAGTGGAACTCTCTGCCCCAGAGGGAGTGTGGTGGAGGCTCTTCTTTGGAGGCTTTGAAACAGAGGCTGGGTGGCCATCTCTCAGGGGTGCTTTGAATGCAGTATTCCTGCTTCTTGGCAGAATGGGGTTGGACTGGATGATGGCCCAGGAAGTCTCTTCCAACTCTAGGATTCTAGGATTCGAAGCCCAGCAGGGATATTCTCATGAGAAACTGCCCTTTGCACTGGGGCCTCTCTGTCCTTGTCTGCATGAAAACCATGGACCAAACCATCTCCATCTTGCACCTCAGCAGATTCTATGATTCTATGATTCTATGACTTAACATTACGATGATGTTCCAGAAGAAGTTGACGTGACTGTATCTGAATAAACGTAAATGTTTGTATATGAGACTAGGACGAGACTAGGACGCGGAACAATGGCTTCAAACTACAAGAGAGGAGATTCCATCTGAACATTAGGAAGAACTTCCTGACTGTGAGAGCCGTTCAGCAGTGGAACTCTCTGCCCCGGAGGGAGTGCGGTGGAGGCTCCTTCTTTGGAAGCTTTTAAGCAGAGGCTGGATGGCCATCTGTCAGGGGTGCTTTGAATGCAGTATTCCTGCTTCTTGGCAGAATGGGGGTGGACTGGATGAGGGCCCACCAGGTCTCTTCCAACTCTTCTAGGATTCTATGATTCTATGACTGAGAGAGCCGTTCAGCAGTGGAACTCTCTGCCCCGGAGTGTGGTGGAGGCTCCTTCTTTGGAAGCTTTTAAGCAGAGGCTGGGTGGCCATCTGTCAGGGGTGCTTTGAATGCAGTATTCCTGCTTCTTGGCAGAATGGGGTTGGGCTGGATGATGGCCCACCAGGTCTCTTCCAACTCTAGGATTCTAGGATTCTAGGATTCTATTTATTATTATTATAAATAAATAAATATTAATAAATATTAATAAATAAATATAAATAAATAAATAAATATTATAAATAAATAAATATTGTTTATTAATATATTATTATTAATATAAAGTTTTATTATTATTTATTATTATAATGGGGGCTGATCAGGAAAGCGGTGGTTCCTCCGTGACTTTCTTCCCCGCTTGAGGCAAAAGGGAACTTGCTTTCCCAGCAGCACTTTGGGCAGCACGAGCATTGATGGAGCCTTGTGCTTCCTCCCGGGGCAAGATGGGAGTTGAAGTTCCTTTCTCTCTGTGTGTGTTTCTCTCTTTCTTCCTCAGCCAATCAGAGGCCTGGCTCACTGTGTCCGCTCTCCTCTCCTCTCGTGGCATGCGCTGGGTGGGACTTCCATTCCCGGAACCCCCTCTTGTGTGTTTCTTTTAAAATGTTATGGTAAAAGCTTCAAAAATTCCCAAAAAATCAGTGGATTGGGGAAACATTCTGAAACTTTGCAGGCTTGCAGTAGAAGACGTGGCCTACAAGTGAGGCGGGTTTCATGCCGATAGGCCTAAAAATGATGGAGAAACGAGCCTCTATCATTTCCCCATTGGTGAACCGAATCTAACTAAAAATGGATCCCCCCCCCCCAATTCCCGAATTCGGGAAGTTCCAAAAAAAATAGGACGGAACAGCAGCAAAAGCTGGACACTGAAAACGTCATGGGTTGTTGATGAAATGCACAGCCCTCTTTGTGACGCCTCCAAACATGCATGCTGAACCAAGTGAGAAGCTGAAGCTGCCTTCCGCTGTGTAGCTGCTCACTCCTCAGGCGCTCTGACCTGGGTGGAACCTGCCAAACACCTGAGCGTAATTTGGGTGGAGTGTCACTTTGAGGGAAAAAAACATAATTTGGCAATATTTATAGTTTAAATAAGAAAAATGTATATTCCACGCTGAGTTATGGAGTGAACAATGCTCAAATGTGCAGATGCTAAATGTGTAGAGCCTTTTACAAGTTTAAGGATGGAATTAGATTGGCTCTTATAAAGTGGACTTCTCTGTGTCTGCGTGTCATCAAAAATAGCCATGCGTGTCAGTGCTGACACACGTGTCACAGGTTCACCGTCACGGCTGTAAGTAGTAGTAGGAGGAGAGACTGTGTATATATTGTACAAATTGTATATTTTGGTTTATGGAAATGTCAAGGTTGGAATGCTGTATTTTTGAAGGATTTCATGGCCAGAATCACTGGGTTGTTGTAGGTCTTTCGGGCTGCCTGGCCATGTTCCAGGGGCATTCTCTCCTGACGTTTTGCCTGCATCTATGGCAGGCATCCTCGGAGGTTGTGAGAGCTGTTGGAAAATTCCTAGTTTCCAACAGACCTCACAATCTCTGAGGATGCCTTCCGTAGATGCGGGCGGGGCGTCAGGAGAGAATGCTTCTGGAACATGGCCATACAGCCCGAAAGACCTACAACAACCCACAATGTGGTGGAGGCTCCTTCTTTGGAAGCTTTGAAACAGAGGCTGGATGGCCATCTGTCAGGGGTGCTTTGAATGCAATATTCCTGCTTCTTGGCAGAATGGGGTTGGACTGGATTCTATGATTCTATGATTGTTGTCCAGCTGTTGTGCGAATTGTGATACCTTCTTGTGCTGAATTTCCGTCCCCAAACCCTTCATCCCTGACGGACACTCGATTTTGCTTCTCCGCAGGACACATCCTCATAGAGATTTCTATCGCACAGAAGAAACTCAATGACAGATTAGACGAAAGTGTAAGTACACACTTATTAATATTATACCTTATTTCACAAACATTTCTTATGTGGGTTGTTGTGGGGTTTTTTTGGGCTATATGGCCATGGTTTAGAGGCATTCTCTCCTGACGTTTCGCCTGCATCTATGGCAAGCATCCTCAGAGGTAGTGAGGTCTGTTGGAAATAGGGGAAAGGGTTTATATATCTGTGGAATGACCAGGGTGAGACAAAGGACTCTTGTCTGCTGGAGCTAGGTGTGAATGTTTCAACTGACCACCTTGATTAGCATTTGATGGCCTGGCAGTGCCTGGAGCAAACTTTTGTTGAGAGGTGATTAGATGTCCTGGTTGGTTTCCTCTCTGTTGTTTTGCTGTTGTAATTTTAGAGTTTTTTAATACTGGTAGCCAGATTTTGTTCATTTTCATGGTCTCCTCCTTTCTGTTGAAATTGTCCACATGCTTGTGGATTTCAATGGCTTCTCTGTGTAGTCTGACATGGTGGTTGTGAGAGTGGTCCAGCATTTCTGTGTTCTCAAATATAATGCTGTGTCCAGGTTGGTTCATCAGGTTGACGGAGTCTGCAGTGCCTTTCATGTTCCTAGATGCATGTTTGGGCAATGCTGCGTTTGGTGGCGAAACGTCAGGAGAAAATGCCTCTAGACCAGTGATGGGCAACCTTTTGAGCTTGGTGTGTCAAAATTTGCCAAAAACCTGAGCGTAACTTGGGTGGGGTGTCAACTCCGAGAAAAAAACCCCCATAATTTTGCAAAATGTATAGTTTAAATAAGAAAAATGTGTATTCCATGCTGAGTTATGGAGTGAACAATGCTCAAACGTTCAGATGTTCGATTTGTAGAGCCTTTTACAAATTTAAGGATGGAATTGGTTTGGCTCTTATAAGGTGGACTTCTCTGTGTCTGCGTGTCATCAAAAACAGCCATGAGTGTCAGTGCTGACACGCGTGTCATAGGTTCACCATCACGGCTTTAGACCATGGCCATATAGCCCGGAAAAACCTACAACAACCCAGTGACTGTGGCCGTGAAAGCCTTCGAGAATACATTCCTTATGCGCATCACTTTATTTATTGAGCCGCAGGGAGATGCAGGTAAGACATTATTATTGTTGTTGTTGTTATTGTCATTGTTGTTATTATTATTACTTATAGTTCGAGAGTCATGATTTGCATCTTTGTGGATTCTATTCTGTTCCGTTCCACTCCCACAAAATATGCTTGATACCCAAAGGCCTGAAGAATGTCAGTGCTGCATCTGAGGAAGTGTGTGTTTGTGTGTGTGTGTGTGTGTAGATAATATCTCTCCTGCTAAAACAGGATCCAGTTGGCCTTAAAAGGGCCGTGGCATTCCTTTCCCATTTTTCGACCGCAAGTGACTCAGAAGGGAAACCAATGTTGTGACGGCGCTCTCCTCTGTTTACCCCCAAAGTTCAAGAAATTCCATAAAGAGATCATATCTGAGCTGGAGAAGAAAACCGAACTCGACGTCAAATACATGAACGTAAGTATATTCAGCGTTAGACGAGGTGAACCTCCTGGTGTACTTTTTGGCTTACACAAAACGCTACGTCTTCCCTCGCTTACCGCAGGGGTTCTGTTCCAGGACCCCCCGTGATAAGAGAAAATCCGCAAAGTAGGGGCGCTCTATTTATTCTAATATTAATATGTATACATTATTTTAGTAGTTACAGTGTACCTCTCCGAATGTATTCTCCCCTATGAACCATCAAGGTTGTTAAGACCTTCCGGAGGGGCCCTGTTCTCGGTCCCACCACCCTCGCATGTGTATCTGGTGGGGACGAGGGACAGGGCCTTCTCGGTGGTGGCCCCTCGGCTCCGCTGGAGATTAGAACTGCCCCTTCCCTCCTGACTTTTAGAAAATTGGTGAAAACTTGGCTCTGGAACTTAGCATTTGATGAGTGAGTCAAGAACTTGTGGCCACACGGACGGATGGCAACGAATTGTGATCTCCTTTGGACGACTTAGCTTTATGTAATTATATGACTATTTTTAATGTATTTTATGTATTAATGTGTTTTATGATGTGATGTTTTAAACTACTGTCCTTGAATTATGTCCCTCTCTAGTGTACACATATATGGCAAACATTCCATGCCAATGCAAACATATACAGACATACACAGAGGCTATTTCACTTTTTCTGTCGCTTTCCTCGTCCATCTGCGACGCTGATGAAGCACTTCCGCATTCCCCGCATGCTTCCCCGCTGGAATGCTTTTGCTGGAGTCTTCTTTATGGTCTCATAAATCAGTTAATTTAGCCTCCCCACACTACCTAATTTTCCTACTTGACAGATGCAACTGTCTTTCGAGTTGCAAAGGTCGACAACAGGCTACGCAATTGGTTGGAAACCCACTCCAACCCGGGCTGGCTTCGAACTCATGACCTTTTTGGTCAGAGTGATCTTAATGCAGCTGTGCCACAATCCCGGTGCAATATAACAGCACAAATTGCAATAAAATAAACAACATAACATTAAAATGTAAAACATCAAAACATATAAAACAATATACACTGAACATAGGAACCAAACAATGGGCTTCTTGTTTAACTCTGCGTGCAGAGACATGTAAAAACATGACATTTAATGCGTGATGGGAATTTCCGGTTGTCTGCTTGTAAAGGCAACGATGACGTTGTTCTGGGCGGAAGAGCCAACACGGGCGGAATAGGTTCCTTCCTTCTGCCAAAATCCATAGAACGGAGGAGGAAGGAATCCCGGGGATTTATTACAACAGCACAACAACAGAGAGGAAACAAACAAGGACAACTAATCACCTCTCAACAAAAGATTGCCCCAGGCACTGCCAGGCCATCAAATGCTAATCAAGGTGGTCAGTTGAAACATTCACACCTAGCTCCAGCAGACAAGAGTCCTTTGTCCCACCCTGGTCATTCCACAGATATATAAACCCTTTTTCCTAGTTCCAACAGACCTTGCTACCTCTGAGGATGTTTGCCAGAGATGCAGGCGAAACGTCAGGAGAGAAGGCCTTACATCAGTGATGGGCAACCTTTTGAGCGTGGTGTGTCAAAATTCACCAAAAAACTGAGCATAATTCAGGTGGTGTGTCACTTCAAGAAAAAAAAACATAATTTCGCAATATTTAGTTTAAATAACAAAAAATATATAATTGTAATTCCCACTTTCTCTCTTATCATGTTGTTCTACCTCTCTTTATGTAAATAATATCCTTTTTGGAGTGTTTAATAAAAATATAATTTTAAAAACCCAACAAAATATTATTTATTTTTAATTTAATTTAAATGTATTTCTAGCATTTAATATGCTATTTAATGTATTTCTAATAATAATAATAATAATAATAACAATAAAGTAACATTGCAAAATAATATTTTGATATTTAATTTACCATTTCATTTAAGGCATATATATATATATATATATATATATATATATATATATATGGGCATATATTAAAAATATTTAAAATACATTAAATTAAATGTCAAATTTAAATTCAATTTACCATTTCATTAAAGGCATTCTGAAATATTTGAGTAATATAGCAAAGTATTATTTATCATTTAATTTAATTTAAATATGTAACTCCTTAATATGTAGGAAACAATGCAAAATAATATTCATTTACTTAATAATTAAATAAACCAATATTATTTTGCAATGTTACCTAAATATTAATAATAATTAAATATTTTTAAATTTGACATTTAATTTAATGCATTTTAATATTTGAATAATATCATTCAGTTTAAATATGAAACTCCTTAATATTTAGGTAACATTGCAAAATAATAATTTCTTTCCTATTTATTTTTAAAATGGCATAAAATAAATAAATAATATCCGGTGGTCGCGTGTCAGTAGAAATGGCTACGTGTGTCAGTACTGACACGCGTGTCATAGGTTCGCCATCATGGCCTTACATTATTAAACTGGTACATTATTTAAACCGTTATGTTTATTCATATCATGATCTGATCACCACGCTCAATATATCCCATATGCATGGGGGGTATTGGGATAATGATACAAAAGGTTTGCTAGGGTAGATCCTGAGCCGCCCCCCCCCCCCGAACCAAGCTCAGCCTCCCCCCGAACCAAACTCAGCCCCCCCCCCCCAAAATCAAAATCCTGGCTACGCACCTGCCATGGATCATTGTGAATACTGTACCCTAACCCACATATATAAAAGGAACCATGCCCTTCTGTGAGTCAAGTGGCAAAAGGAAAAACCTAGTACAGCCCTGGAGAACCTAAAAGAAGTACGGAATCCCTCTTTTCTCTCCATCCTGGTGCTGTTTCTGGGCTTTTTGAATACCTACATTGGGGATAATTTTTTAATACTCAGAACGACAAATTTGAAAATTGATCATTTTGCAGGGAAGCTTTTGGAGGCAGTGACAGAGTTTGCATTTCTAGGTGCAAAGATTACTGCAAACGCAGACTGCAGCCAGGAAATCAGGAGACGCTTACTTCTTGGGAGGAGAGCAATGTCCAATCTCGATAAAATAGTGAAGAGTAGAGACATCACATTGGCAACCAATATCCGCATAGTTCAAGCAATGGTATTCCCCATAGTCACCTACGGATGTGAGAGCTGGACCTTAGGGAAGGCTGAGCGAAGGAAGATCGATGCTTTTGAACTGTGGTGTTGGAGGAAAGTTCTGAGAGTGCCTTGGACCGCGAGAAGATCCAACCAGTCCATACTTCAGGAAATAAAGCCCGACTGCTCATTGGAGGGAAGGATAGTAGAGGCCTAGATGAAGTACTTTGGCCACATCATGAGAAGACAGGAAAGCTTAGAGAAGACAATGATGCTGGGGAAGGAAAAGGAAGGAAAAAGGAAGAGGGGCTGACCAAGGGCAAGATGGATGGATGGGATCCTTGATGTGACAGCGCGAGTGGTGCCACCTATGTATAGAACTGTTAGTTGTAACACTTAAACTGTTGTATCATGCTTAATCCTGCCCCTTTTTACACTGCTTATGTATAGTTGTATGGATTGGTTGTTTGTAGCTGTCAATCAGTACTGTTTGGCTCCACCTCTTCCTGCAAGAAAGGAGAACTTTCCTTTTTCTTTTCATTCTGCCATCAGAGTTCGTACCAGATGGACGTGAGTAAAATACTTGATTCTAAAGGACCCTGATTTAAGTTACCTCTTAGCATCAGTTCTGAGGTTTTTTTACTCCTGGGATTTATGCTTTATGTTCAGATCGTCCTGGACAATTATTGAGGAGACCCAGGCGCCTTCAAGCCGGTCCTTTTGGCACCGAAGGAAGATCCTGAATCTTCAAAACATAGGCCATCTGAACTGGGGTTGTGGTTTGCTCCGGCATTCACAGCCATTGAGGAAGGAGGAAATTTGGTGAGGCTTCTCAGCTTCAAACCCCTTGGACCCAGGACTAATTGAGACTGTAACGTATGTTTTCCTTCACCCCCTAAAGTTTTCCAGCTCATTGCTTTGAAGAAATGACTTTGTGATAAATAATACTTATTTTGAGCTATTTACAGCGTTTTGGGTTTTTGGGAGTTCCAGTTTCCTTTCCCTTGGGGGAAAGATGCCACGTCCATCCCTCCTTTACTAAGACTAATAGCCCCCAGGCGCGACGGCACACTTGAAGTGACTGAACTGACCTTGAAGGAGGTGGGCGTGGTGACGGCTGACAGGGAGCTCTGGCATGGGCTGATCCATGAGGTTACGAAGAGTCAGAAACGACTGAACGAATGAACAACAAATTCCCTTCTGAGAGGGATCTAGGGGAAAGGCAACAGTAGCAAATTTAATATACAGTTAGTCCTTCATATCAACTGATTCTTCATCCATGGATTCAACTAGCCATGATATGAAACTACTCTCTAAAATCAAAAAAGCATACTTTTATTTTGTCATTTAAATAAGAATGTCATTTGACCACACCATTGTATATAATGGGATTTCAGCAGCCGTGGATTTTGGTGTCTGCGGAGTGTCCTGGAACCGGACCCTAGTGCAGTGTTTCTCAACCTGGGGGTCAGGACCCCTGAGGGAGTCGCGAGGGGGCATCAGAGGGGTCGCTAAAGACCATCAGAAAACACATTATTTTCTGTTGCTCATGGGGGTTCTGTGTGGGAAGTTTGGCCCAATTCTATCGCTGGTGGTGTTCAGAATGCTCTTTGATTGTAGGTGAGCTATAAATCCCAAATTTCAAGGTCTATTTTCCCCAAACTCCACTAGTGTTCACATTTGGGCATATTGACTATTCATGCCAAGTTTGGTCCAGATTGTTGGAGTCCTCAGTGCTCTCTGGGTATAGGTGAACTCCAACTCCCAAACTCAAGGTCGAATGTCCACCAAACTCTTCCAGTATTTTCTGTTGGGAGTTCTGTGTGCAAAGTTTGGTTCAATTCCATCGTTGGTGGTGTTCAGAATGCTCACTGACTGTAGGTGAACTATAAATCTCAGCACTACAACTCCCATATGACAAAATCACCCTCCCCCCCATTCCCACCAGTATTCAAATTTGGCCGTATCGGGTATTTGTGCCAAATTTGGTCCAGTGAATGAAAATACACCCGGCATATTAGATATTCACAACAGTAGCAAAATCATAGAATCAAAGAGTTGGAAGAGACCACATGGGCCATCCAGTCCAACCCCCTGCCAAGAAGCAGGAATATTGCATTCAAATCACCCCTGACAGATGGCCATCCAGCCTCTATTTAAAAGCTTCCAAAGAAGGAGCCTCCACCACACTCCAGGGCAGAGAGTTCCACTGCTGAACGGCTCTCACATAAATGGCACTTATGAAGTAGTAACGAAAATAATATTCTGGTTGGGGGTCACCACAACATGAAGAACTGTATTAAGGGGTCACGGCATTAGGAAGGTTGAGAACCGCTGCCCTAGTGGATACCAAGGGCAGACTGTACTGTACTTTTCTCTGAAAAGGCAAAAATGTGTAGGTTTTTGATTAGTCATTTTTTTACAAATGCATATTTTACTGGTAGGTAAAGGTAAAGCTTGTCCCCTGACAATTAAGTCCAGTTGGGTCCGACTCTGGGGTGTGGTGCTCATCTCCATTTCTAAGCTGAAGAGCCGGCATTGTCCATAGACACCTCCAAGGTCATGTGGCTGGCATGACTGCATGGAGCGCCGTTACCTTCCTGCCGTAGCATTACCTATTGATCTATTCACATTTGCATGTTTTCAAACTGCTAGGTTGGCAGAAGCTGGGGCTGACAGCGGAAGCTCATGCCGCTCCCTGGTCAACAAGCTTAGCATCTCAGCACTTTAACCCACTGTGCCACTGGGGGCTTCTACTTTACTGGTACATAGATTAAAATGTGTTAAGGATTAAGTAAATGAACAGATTAAATGAAGTGGGCTTACAGTTGTCTAGAACCTGTGACCTTTGGACTGGAAGTCCTGACTTTCTGACCTGACTCAGTCATTGTCCTAAAGGTTGTCTCTGCAAAACCACTTCCACATGGAAGAAATTTAATTTTGCAGTGTGAGCATAAATGATGACTGTACGGAAACGACGTGCGCCGGTCATGCCACTACAAGTAGTCTAACTTTCTTTTTTCTTTCTTTCTTTTTCCCGGGTGTTTCTCAATAACTATGCAGCAATGTTGAACCACACTGAAATTAGAGGAATAGAAGGGATGTATCTTCAGAAGTGAAGAAAAACCATTCTGCATTTACAGTTTACACATTCACAGATCTCACTTTTGAAGATTGAATATATTGTTGAAGGCTTTCATGGCTGGAATCACTGGGTTGTTGTAGGTTTTTTCGGGCTATATGGCCATGTTCTAGAGGTATTCTTTCCTGACGTTTCGCCTGCATCTATAGCAAGCATCCTCACTACCTCTGAGGATGCTTGCCATAGATGCAGGCGAAACGTCAGGAGAGAATGCCTCTAGAACAGTGTTTCTCAGCCTGGGGGTCAGGACCCCTGGAGGGGTTGTGAGGGGGTGTCAGAGGGGTCACCAAAGACCACAAGAAAACACAGTATTTTCTGTTGGTCGTGGAGGTTCTGTGTGGGAAGTTTGGCCCAATTCAATCATTGGCAGGGTTCAGAATGCTCTTTGATTGTAGGTGAACTATAAATCCCAGCTACTACAACTCCCAAATGTCAAGATCTATTTTCCCCAAACCCCACTCGTGTTTACATTTGGGCATATTGCGAATTTGTGCCAGGTTTGGTCCAGATTCATCATTGTTTGAGTCCACAGTGCTCTCTGGATGTAGCTGAACTACAACTCCCAAAACTCAAGGTCAATGCCCACCAAACCCTTCCAGTATTTTCTCTTGGTCATGGGAGTTCTGTGTGCCAAGTTTGATTCAATTCTATCGTTGGTGGAGTTCAGAATTGTTGAGATTAACTTCACAATTCAGCAGCAAATCAGTTGCACAACTTCAGCGCTTTCCAGTAGCTTCTTCCTGCACAGTATTTTCAATCAACTGCTCCCACAGCCTGCAGTCACTCCGGAACCTTTTACAGACACTTGAGCACATGCCTGGCCATTGTCAGTTTTGCCATTGTCTTTCCCCCAGTCTAGATGATATTACAAACTTACCACAGCATACAGTTATATCTTGTCTTAGCAGACAGGTTCTTTTAATTACATGTAGCCTTCGACGAACAACATCACAGCACAAGGAGAAATATACACTGTACATGATTTCCTTATATACAATTAATTTACACATAGCAATCTCTGATTGGTTCCCAACTCATTAACAGTCCAACCCCCTGCCAAGAAGCAGGAGTATTGTATTCAAATCACCCCTGACAGATGGCCATCCAGCCTCTGCTTAAAAGCTTCCAAAGAAGGAGCCTCC